TTTACACAGAAGTAGAAGAGTAGGTGTGCAGTATGACTGAGACCTCTCCCCACAAGACCACATAGGCTGGCCCACCCAGGCAGGAAGGCAAGAAGGAAATCTGACCAGCAGTCATAAGGCCCAAGAGACTGAAAGTACAAACAGGCTCTTAGGAAATAGTTATCAACCAACAACCAGTCAATCAGCCCTCAAAGGACAGGCGAGAGAGGTAGCTTCTAGGCTGCCAAGGGAACAGGACAGACATTGAAAAGGATTATGAATGAGGTAGTGTCCGAAACAAGTGTGGTATAAGCAAGACACAGATACCTGAATCTAACCTCCTGAGCTCATCTGTGATCTTGACCCTTGATTAAAAAAAAAAAAAAAAAAAAGCCCTCATATGGTAAAAAGAGCCTTATGGATGGCAACAGCATTATGGCATTTATCCTAACAACCTATGGTACTACTTTGTTTTAAGATGAGGAAACAAACTGAGAGAGTCATATGGCCGGTTTGTACTGAGCCAGGACACAAACCCAGTTTTGTGATCCAGAGTCCTGTATTTTCTTCAATACATCACATAGCTCCAAGTTACCCCTTACCAGCTAACTGTGTGACCTTGAGAAAGTAAAAGTCATTTCTCTTCCTACAGCCTCAGTTTCTTCATTTGTACAATTGTGGTAACACACCCCCTGCCAGCCTCACAGGAGTGTATTGAGGATTCTATCCAAGCATGAGAACGAACGTGCTTTGTAAATTGTGATGTACTGTGCACACAGGAGGTGACAGCAGTAAAGTCTTTCATCCCAAGAGGCTGGAAGGACTGAGGATGCATATGTCTGAGCAGTGGCATCAGTCCAAATCTCCCTATTAAGATCTAGTTCAGATTCTCATTCTCTTTTCCAAGACAACTCTTTTCTCTGAAATTCTTTTGCTGGCAGAACTGGGTCAAGTAAGTTCCATCAATTTTTTTTTTTTGTGGAATGTATATGCTAAAAGATGGGGTTTAACATGTGCTAAATAGGAAGAAGGGATTAAGTGCTGCATGAGGCTAAACTAGGAGTGGCCTGTCTGGGCTAGGGGTTTGACTATGACTTATTCAATAAGTTGACTTATTTTTTAACTAAAAAAATTTTTTAATACTTGCACTGTACTAGGATAGAATAGGCCACCTCAGTAGCTTCTGAGGCTAATACATTCCTATCACCAGAGTTACTTTAACAAACCTGGTTCTCTTAACTTCTGTCACATCAGGTAGAGCTAGTGATCAAATTTGCACTTTAAAAAAAAAAACAACTTTTATTTAGTAAATAAATTGATGTTTGCAGATCTATATACTATCAGCCAAACTACAATGTCTTGCTCTGACATTTTTTTCCCAATTTAATTCAGATCATGCCTGGTTCCTCATTTTGTTGTTCAAAGTGCTTCATAATCTGAGAGTAGTTTTGGAGTCTAAACATAGACTAGAAATCCTAGTTCTGTCATTTATCAGCTGTGTAACCTTGAATTTATGATGAGTTGCCTCCTGATCTTCAATTTCCTTATTCATATGTAGCAGCAACAGTACCTACTTCATAGGGTTCCTGCAAGGATTAAGTACATTAATATACAATATATGTGTACAATGTAGGTACTTTGCAAGTGTGAATTCCCAGCTAAGGGATCTTCAATGTCCTCTGCAAACAAGCCAGGGTCATTCTTGCCTCTGAACTTTTATTCTTGTTTTTTTCTCTACTGCTATTCTCTCTCCCCTCTCAAATCCTTCTTATTCCTCAAGGTGTAGTTAAAGCCTCACCATCCCATGAAGCAAACGAATTCTTCGAATTTCCATAGCATGGCCACCCTTTTTAAGCCTGCTTTGGCTCTGTGTGATTCTCCAATGGTATACATGTTACTCATCTGTGGATGTCCCTTAAATGAGAGGCGGGGCTTCTCTCAACCCATTTACAGCTGTGAGTATACAACTGGACGCACAGTTATACAACCACTCTGATCTGCTTGCACCAGCCCTTTAACTAAGATCTAGATAGCCTCCTCTGGATCCCAGCACAGAATACCTTGCAATGCTAAATCTTACTGGAGAGCAATGACACCCAAAAGCTAAGACCAGGATAGGCAAAAATCTGTCTTCCTCAACTGGCTCTAGAAAGGGGTTGGTGGGAGCACAGCTCATGCGAGGCCAACCCTATTTGAGTGTGGTCCCTGGAGCCCAGTCTGCACACAGTGGGTCCTGGCCGTGGGGTGTGGCCCAGGCAGGCCCAGAGCGGAGGAAAAGGAAGCCCTGATGTTTGCCTGATTGCCAGATCTCTGTGGCCGTTAGAGCAGGGGAAGTGAACCAACTGGGAGTGGGGGAGGGGAGGAATGGGCAAGTGTAGAGGCAATATGAACTTACTATAGCCTTCTAACCTGCCTCCCTAACATGGGCTCTTCGTTGTAGCCCTCCCTGAACCTCATTCTACCTTATAATATACCTCTGGCTACACCACCCTGATCATCTATAAACTGTCCTTTACAAGTAGCAATACTCACAGAGCCGAGCACCTTTGCCACCTCCTCCAGGAAAGTTTTTGTAAATCATCCAAGTCACAGATGACTTAACCTATCAAAAGTCTGGTGCCCATCTCCCTCTTAGGCACTTACCTGCATCACATGGAGACTGATCTGAATCTTATCTCTTGTTAGACTGGAAGACCTAGAGGGCAAGGTCCTGACTGATTTCTGTCTCATTGGGCTGAGCCCAGCAAACAGTGGCTGTCAGTAAATAACTCAATGAGCTCAATCTGTCCTTCATGTCTTTGAACATGGGAGTTCCTTTTCCTAGAACACTGCTTACCCCTTCAGATTCTTCCTGTCTTTCAAGGCCAATTTCTATTCACCACCTTCTCCAGGAAAAGACAGCAACCTCCTCTCCTGTCTTACCTTTCCCAGCATTGACTATTCTGTTCACTGTGCTGAACTAACTGAATGCTTGATAGGGAGGGAAATCTGTCCTTATTTATTATAAGTCCAGCAAAAGGCTGAGCAAAAGCTGTAGACTGACATACACCTCCTCTTCCATCAATCCAGACATAGAAGCTGGGAACAAGGAAATCCTCAATGCCCAGGAGATATACAACAAAAGTAGACAACTTCTTTCTCACCCCAAGGAGCACAAAGTTAGGATAACGAACACACAAGTTATATAGCTTTGTACTCAGTTGGAAAGGTGAGGTGAAGCAGACAAAACTAGCTCACAGGGGATGAGGAAGATGGGTAGGAACAAGTGGTCCCAATAGGCTAAGGATTGATTGGAACATCTGAAGCCTTGGCCAAAGACAGGCCAAGGGCAGGGCATTGTTGGAAAAGCTCTGCAAGTCTGTTTGTTTCGAAGGGATGAGAAAAGAGAGGTGACACAAGGAGGCTCAGAGGGGCTGCTGCTGGTTGCAGCTGGGCTGGGAGGAAGAAGCTGGGGAAGACATGAGGTCAGTGTGGGGCTGGGATCAGGCCAAGGGCTGAGTCTCTCTTTCTTCCCCTTCTCCTCATCAGCAGGGAAGAACCCAAGAGAGCCTAGTTCCCAGTCTGGGAAAAAAAAAAAAACCCGCACATGGGTTGGGGGCATGACTCAAGTGGTAGAGTGACTGCCTAGCAAGTGTGAAGCCCAGAGTTCAAACCCCAGTACCACCATTTAAAAAAAGAAAAAAAAAAAAGTGGAGGACTCTCTGCCTCTTGCCATTCTCCATCTTTCAGCCCCTGCAGAGGATCCTGCACTATAGCAGGTAGGGGAAGAGGAGAGAGTTGATGTTATCCTCCAGGAACTAGAGAGCAGGAGAAAATGACAGTTACAGCTGAGGATATAGGGGGTTGGGAACCTTTCACTAAGTCTCAGTTCCTTCTCTTCTTTTCTGGCCAT